TGGTAGGCAAAGAGTAATGAGGGAAACTTAAGGTTGATTTCCCTGTAACTTTTTTAAATTTTTACTTATTTTACTTTTAATTTATGGAATAAAACAAGCATTTCTATAACAGTGCAATAAAAAAGTGATTGCACGTGAAATTGTAAATCTATTATGTTCAATTCGCTATTCCTTTTAAATATTACATTTGTCAAATACAATTTTACTAAATATATTTGTTACTGCAAATTATGTGTCTACTCTGTTCCACCGATCTACTTTTCTATTTCTAAGCCAGTACCAGATAGTTTTAATAATTACAACCTTATAATATAGTTTAAAATCTGGCACTGTTAAAGCTCCTTCCTTTATATTTTTTTCATTATTTCCTGTAAATTTTTAGAATTATATCCTAAATTTCTTCAAAACAAGTTCTAAAGAATGTTAATCCAAAATTCACCAGAATGTTTCAGCATTTATTTTTGAAAAATCAAACCACAATTCAGAGATTCACAGTAGAGAACTGACAATTCAGTCATAAATTTAGCCCCAGATTAGTTTATGATGCCATAAATTTCTATGGTCTGATGGAAAAGATTAACTTACTTCTAGTCTGTCTTTCCCCTTATACTCTTCTCCTCTCCTCTTTCCACGTGGTATATCATGCCCTTACCTGAGGGTGCTCTGCCCAAAAGAAGGTAAATTTTGATGACCAAAAGCTACCTTGATACCTTGGGGTTTGCAGGCTAGAATTCTTTCCTAAAGACCATGCCTTAAATACAATTCACTCTGGCTCTCATTGATTAGAGAAGAATAAATTGCTGCCCAAGCATCACTTAATGGTTATTTTTTGGGCCCTGATGGCTCAGAATGGATATAAATAGTAATTATTTCTCTTTTGGCCTGAAACTCTGAGGGTCTTCCCCTCCCATTTTTATTTTTATCTTTTTCTTTCTTTCTTTCTTCCTTTTTTCTTTTTCTTTTCTTTTCCTTTTTTTTTCCTTTTTTTTTTTTTAATTAAAGGGGTCATCCCTAGGCTCCCTTCTTAAACATCCCTAAGTCAAAGTGAGAACTCAGAAACACCTTAGCTTAAAAATGTCAAGGTCTCCCACTGCATCCTGGGCTCTCTCCAGTTGTCCTGAACAATATCTGGCCACTGGACCTCCAGTTGGCTCTGGAGGAAAAAGTGAGGCTAGTGACTTTGCACAGCTCTCCCTCACTTAAATCGAATTCACTTAAAGTCAGGGCATCATTTTCCTGATGTCATGGTTCTCTGTGAGGACAAACAACAAAAACCGCAATCTGCACTTCAAGAATTTCGCTAGAATTTAGGAATATAAAGAAGAGAGACTTGTTCTGAAGGCACAGACAGACCACATACAGACACCATCACAGATACACAGATACAAACAGGCAATTGGGAGAGATAGTGGCTCTAACATTTCTTTACTGGTATTACTAGTCTTAATTACTTCCTCTGCTCAAAGAAATCTTTTACTGGTTCGATTTGACTAAATGTCACTGACAGTCTTCATATATTACCTTAGTCAATTTGGTTGCTGGAGACCGAGCCAGCTCAAACACAGGAAAATTAGAATCAATTTGGTCTACCCTTCTATGAGTCACCAACTTGTAAAATCTTTTTTTTTTCCTCGCAAGGGATGCACTGAAAAAAGAAAGACAGTTCCTGGCTAGGAATTTTAATTCCTCAATCCTTGAAGGACATTGCATGTAATTCAATGTCTACTTTTTATAGTTGGAAAACATGATTAGTCTCCCAATATCTCAAGTTCAGAAAACATTTGTAGTCAGGTATATGCTTGAATTGTAACCTTTCACCTCTATAGAACCCTCCAATTTTATAGGGTAGGAAATAAGCCCCAAATCAATATCTACAATCCTAACTTCTCTCTTAATTTTCAATCCCAAATGTCTCACTGCCTTCTGGACATCTTACTTTGAGGTTCTATTGGCACCTAAACCTCACCATATCCCAAACTCAGAATTTTTCCCAAACTGGGTCCCTCTCTTAAGTTTCCTATTTCTTTCTTAATTAACCAGACTTGAAACTTGTGGGTCTATGCCTTTTCCTTCACCATGCCTCCAAACACAAATCAAGTCATCCAGTTCTATTGGTCATCCTTGTATAATGTCTCATATCTACCCTTTACTTTCCATTCCTACTACTTCCATACTGGTTCATGACTTTGTCTCTTCACACACAATTAAGCAGCCTCAAAAATGGTGTCTTACTTCTAAGCTCTCTTCTTCAATAAAATTTATACACCTCAACTTTTTTTTTTTTGGAGAGGCAATCAGGGTTAAGGGACTTGCCCAGAGTCACACAGCTAGGAAATGTCCAGTGTCTGAGGCCAAATTTGAACTCAGGTCCTCCTAATTCCAGAGCTGGTGCTCTATCCACTGCACCACCTAGCCACCCCCATCCTCAACTTCTTAAAACACAACTCCGAGAATGTCAATCTTCTATTTGAAAACTTTACCTACAGGATAAAGTCCAAAGTCTTAACCTTGTGTTCAAAGCCACCCTCAACCTACCTGTAAGATATTTCTTATTACTTCCATACATGAATCCTTCTTGGTCAAATCAAATTAGTCAGGTATCTGCACATATGTTTTATTGGTTTCCAAGTCCTTTTAAGAATATTTTCTCATTTTATTGTGAACTTGATAACCATCAAAAACACAAACATTTAATATAAAGAAATATAAACAAAAGAGATAAGATTACATATGAAACAGTGATCTTTTCTTGCATACATCTTTTTAATGTCACCATATTTAACAAGGTAGTAACAAAACTTCCCTGTCTTTGCCCCCTCTTGAATCTCTAATTCCTTCTTCCTATCTTTTCTCCTCTGCTTTTCCTCTCTCCTACCCCCCAATCATACGTTTTCTAAAAATAACACAATGAAGGCTACTATCAAAAAGTACTGCCCACTCTTCAAGGAAGATCTAGATTCACTTCTGCCTTCTCCACAAAGCTTTTCCTGTCAAGTCCAGTCCCTCTCTCTTCAGAACTTGTAGCCATTCATTTCCTTAGTTATGTCTTCAGACATACAGTATGTCTCATCTCCCTAATTAGATGCAATGTACTTCTATTTGATAAATGCTGGTAAATTGTTCATTATTAATGTGATGGAAAAACAAAGATGAAATAAAATAGAATCCCATACTCTTGCCATTGGAGTGGATAAGACATGTACACAAATGACCTTAATACAAAACAGAATGTGATCATTTCAGAGGAGTGCAAAATGCTATCATATGGTAGTTAGTATCTATATAGCACTTTAAGGTTTACAAAGAAATTTGTAACAAATTTTTGATCCTCACAACAACTTTATGAGGCAGGTGCTACTATTACCTCCCTTTTACAGATGAAGGATTTGCACATATAATAACCATTTAATAAATTCTTTGTAACTAACTTCAAAGGTCAAGCCATCTCCTTTGTGAAACCTTTCTATTCACCCTAGTTAGTATTCTCTCCCTTGTCAAATTATTTCAATATATTTTACTATATATTCACTTTATTTTACTATATTTACTATACTTTACTAAATATAGATATAGATATATTTTATAAGTTTATATGGATATATACACACATGTGTATATATATATATATATATATGTGTGTGCATGTATATCTGTATAGATATAGGTATATAGATATATAGATACAGATAGACACATACCCTAATATTCACTGTGTCCCTGTTATATGCCTCTTTGAGGGGAGGTGATGGTTTGCTTTTGTCTTAGCATTCCCAATGCCTGGCATGATGTTTCATAAAGGTTCATTGAATGGAAGATGAATGTGAACAGAGTATTGCAGAATCCCACATGTCAGAACCTCAAAGTTGGAAGGGAAAGAAGGACTTCAGAAATCACCTAGACCGGGACAGCTAGGTGGCACAGTTGATAGAGCACCAGCCCTGAAGGCAGGCCTCAGACCAAAAACTTGACATATATTAGCTGTGTGACCATGGGCAAATCATTTAACCCCAATTGCCTAAAAATTTTTTAAAAAAAAGAAATCACCTAGACCAATCTTGGGTCCTTGAGCATGTCATATGCTGTACTCCTTGGTTTTGCTACTGTGAGATCAACAAAATCTAACACTTCAATGATGATGGATGAGTTAAAAGCCAAGAAAAAATCTTGTATGACTTTATGTGTTCAGTGTATGAAAAAAAATCTCAAAATGACATAAATCCTTTCAATTCAAAGGCTCCTCACCCAAAAAGATTAATTAGCACCATTTTTAGAAAAAAGGTCAATAAGTTCTCATTTTCTGGAAGAAAAGATTTTCTAGAGAGAACTATAAAGGCACTTCCTAAGTTAGGTATTTATGAATCTTATGTACATAATAGCTCAGGAGCAGTGTGAGTTACTTATTTAAAGGATTTATTAAATCCTTCAGCTTTGTGAAAGAGCCTTGGCATCTGCACCAGGATTTATAATGTTAACTCACATTATTGGTTGTTCCAATAAATTACAATTTTTGAATTACTTTTTTAAGGCTATCAGGGATTATTTTTTGCCATGTGTTTTGCTTTTTTATGAAGAAGAATTGTGTGTAACAGAGAGAAAGAGAAAGAGAGAGAGAGAGAGAGAGAGAGAGAGAGAGAGAGATTGACAAGCTTACCACCAGATATATCACTTGCACTCCTTTCTTTTTTGCTGAGAATATATTTTTTTTACCAGTTACTCAATGTTCTGTAAAAGATGAAAAAGAATAATGATAGAGAGTCTCTACTGAGCTCCACCCATCTTCCATTTCAACATAATAAATGTCTTATGTGTTTTAAGGGCAAAACACACACCAGGATGTATCAGATTGGCTTTTAGTAAAGATAATGCTAAATTAGCAAAAAGTCAGCCCAGTGAGAAGAAAATCTTTCAGATGGGACACACCCTCCCAGCTCAGTATATAAAGGCTTGCCACAGTCTCTGGATAGCAAGCATTGCTTGAGCTGAACCTCTACTGCATCACTATGTCCCAGAGATATAGTTCCAGCAAACATTACTCTTCCTCCCATAGTGGAGGAGGAGGAGGAGGAGGAAGTTCATCTATCAGAATCTCAAGCAGTAGAGGCTCTAGCTATGGGGTTAGCTCTCTTGGTGGAGGATTTAGCTCAGGTGGGGGCTCTAGCTATGGCAGCTGCTCAAGAGGTGGGGGCTTCGGCAGTGGATCAGTAAGGGGCTTTGGAGGAGGCTTTGGTGGCGGCAGCTATGTTGGGAGTAGCTTTGATGGTGGTAGCTTCGGTGGAGGAAGCTTTGCTGGAGTCTTTGGGGGAGGTTTGGTGGAGGCGATGGAGGCCTCCTCACAGGCAATGAGAAGGTCACCATGCAGAACCTCAATGACCGCCTGGCCTCCTACCTGCACAAAGTGCAAGCTCTAGAAGAGTCTAACTCTGAGCTAGAGCAAAAAATCAAAGAGTGGTATGAGAAAAATGGCAATGCAAATCAGCGAGAACCTCGTGACTACTCTCATTACTATGACCAAATCAAAGAACTGAAGGATCAGGTAAGAAACATCATTTATACTGCTTCTGAACGAGTCTTGTGCTTATTTCTTAGTCTTACATTTTAGATAACAATAGCTGGTCTCAAAGTCAGGAGACCTAGGTTCAAACTTCCCCTGAAGCATAGTAGCTACTTAACTTCTTCCAGTGCCCCTAGGCAACTCTCTTGGTCTCTAATTTTAGAGCAGGTGCTAATCTGCATTACAAGATGGAGTTTCTCATTGGCAGCTACTTAGAGCAATGAAATCATAGCTTCCCCCCTCCTCCCCCCCCATACTCCCCTCCCAAAAAATAGTTGAGATAGAGAAATCTTAAATCAAGAAACATGGAGCTGTTAATTGTTATTGGTTATTTTATCCTTGGTCCTGGGAATAATTCAATATGGTCCAAAATTAGAGGGAAAGGGATCTTTACCCATCATGCAATGGTAAACCATTATTGGTCAATAAGGACGTCAGACTGTTCAAAGCCATTGGGCCTCCAGAGAAATCCTGAAGAAAGAAAATGTAATCAAAGAAATGGAGGAGAAGGCAATACAAAAGGAAAAGAACCATTGGAATGGGAGGAAAAATCTCTGCTAGTTCATTTTCCAAACTCATAGAAACTTGCTCTCTCTCACATTTTTCAGAAGTATGAATTCTCCCAATTGGAAGGAAGAGGGATATAATTCATATATTCAAAGGATATCTAAAATTCAGATCTAATGGATCAATTCTAATTTAGGAATATATATATATACATATATATATATATATATATACATACATATGCACACACACACACACACACACACACACACACATATATATGAAGTACCAAATCAGTCAGAGGTGTCCTAGAGTCAGTGAAATAACATGGTGTGATAAGATCAGAGATTTCAATTGCTGAGTAAAAAAAGAAATAAATAAATGCCTGGTCAGAAAAGACATGACTTCAGAAATCCTAAAAGATTCGAGCTTTAGAAAACAGGTGACTGCACTGTATGTCATTCTTAAATGACAAAAGTATCCCCATAGAATTGGTTGATGGTTAAATGGTTAATGGTTAAATTCAGTTTTTAAGAAGCACAGCCTTTTTCAAAAATCCATACACATGATCTCCTTCTAAATTATTTTTCCTTTACCAGATCCTGAATCTAAGCACTGACAATGCTAATGTGTTACTGCAAATTGATAATGCCAGGCTGGCTGCTGATGACTTCAGACTGAAGTAAGCAAAGGGAATAAGGAGCATGTGTTCCTGAAATTGTTACACATGAATTTGATGTGGGTAATCGCTTAACACAACAAAATGAGTTTCTAATATTCCCCAAATGGCACATTCTGCCCTGTAAAAAAAAATCATTCAAAATTCAACATTTTCTAGATCATCAGAGAAATTTTCAGTGGTAATAATATCATCTGATATATTTTAGATTAGGAATACTTTGCAGATAACCTAAGTAATTTTGGACTTTGCTACTTTCATACAACTGTTACCATTATTTGTGTGTGGAGTAGAATGAACATGCTGGAATAAAGTGTGAAATCAATTGGTTACCAGACTATGAAATGAGTTCTATTAATACTCAAGTTACTATTCTATTGGTAATAGCTACAATAATATTAGTAGTAGAGTTGGTCCTTCTTTCAGACTAGCACAATTTCTCTAGAATCCAGAATAATACTCTGTACACAGTAGGAGCTTAATTAATGTGTATTATATCATCTGGACTGATATGGTACTATGTTTTATTATACTGTATTGTATTCTGTTACTTCACATTTTCTCAAGCTCCCTTTCCTACTCTCTCCAGCTGCAAAATACATTCTTTTAAATGGACTGAGTTATATTCATGATTATACCTTGTCTCTTTCAGGTATGAAAATGAAGTGACCCTGCGTCAAAGTGTGGAGGCTGACATTAATGGTCTGCGCAGAGTCCTGGATGAACTGACCTTGGCCAAGACTGACCTAGAGATGCAGGTTGAAAGCCTGAATGAAGAGCTGACCTTCCTGAAGAAGAACCACGAGGAGGTGAGACAAAACTCTGTTCCATCCCACCATGCCACACCCCAATTCCTAAAGTCTCACTATAGTCATGAAAACTAGAGTCACATTATGGGCTCTCCTTCCCCTACAGGAAATGAAAGATCTTCAGAACGTGTCCACTGGTTATGTGAATGTGGAAATGAATGCTGCCCCAGGAGTGGATCTGACCGAATATCTGAACTGCATGAGAACCAAGTATGAGATGATGGCTGAACAAAATCGCAAAGATTCTGAAGCCTGGTTCAATGAAAAGGTGAAAATTACTTATCATGTCTAAAGGCCACTCACCTCACCATAAGGGTGGTTATCATCTTCTAGTGATTTTTTTCTCTTTCTCCTCTCCTTTGCTTTTATGATCCTAGAGCAAGGAGGTGACCAGAGAGATTGATACCAACGTTGAACAAATGTCCAGCCACAAATCCGAGATCACCGAATTGAAACGCAACGTTCAAGCTCTGGAGATTGAACTGCGGTCACAACTGGCCCTGGTAAGTTAACAATAAGCTCTCTGTTTCTGTAACATAAGCTCTGTGATTCCAAAATGTTTTAATGTATTTCTTAAGAAAGTGTGAAGTTTTAGAGCATCTGTTTCTAAGCTTTCTTATTCAAATTCATGATCCCAAGGATGAATGTTCACCAAATTAGGGAATATATCCTTAGACCATCTTGATGAGGGTGAAAGAGGAGAGTGCAAAAGCTGGCTTGAAGTTTAACATTTAAAAAGCCTAAGAATGTGACAACTGGTCCCATCACTTCATGCCATAGAGACAAAGAAGAAATGGAAACAGTGTCAGCTTTTATATTCTTTGGCTCAATGATCACCGCAGATAGTGACTGCAGCCATGAAATTAAAAGACACAAGATCCTTGGAAGAAAAGCTATGGCCAATTTTGACAGCATACTAAAAAGCAAAGATATCATCTTGCTGACAAAGGTCCATGTAGTAAAAACTTTAGTTTTTCCAGTGACAACTGGGATGGAAGGAAAGCCCAGCACCAGAATCGATGCTTTCCAAATGTGGTGCTAGAGAAGACTTTTGAAAGTCCCTTAGACAACAGGGGGTCAAACCAATACTTAAAGAAATTAATTCAGGCTACTCAGTGGAAGGGAAAACACTGAAGATGAAATTTAAATAGTTTGGCTGCATAATAAGAAGATGGGACTCATGGCAAAAGACCCTATTTTGGGGGAAGATTGAAAGGAAAAGGAAAAGGAGATGGCAGGGAATGACATGGATAGATAATGCCACGGAAACAATGAACATGAACTTGGAAAGACTTTGAGAGATAGTGGAAGATAGAAGGGCCCGGCTTGCTATGGTCCACCAGGTCACGAAGAGTCAGAAAGGACTGAAAGATTCCACAACAATGTCAACAGAGAGAAAGGAACACAGCATCAGGTTTTTGAAATACAACAAAGACCCCACATCAGGGCCAAAACTATTTGTAGTATTGGTCTGAAATTACTAAAAAGCTAAAACTAGTTTGGGTCACATATCTTTAAATATAGTCAAAGTTCTTTATTCCCCTATTAATTTTCTAATTAGAAAGAGTTTTGTTGTATCCTATTTAATCAATGATGTTGCCAATTCATTTAATGTTCCTCTCCTTCTCAGAAACAATCCCTGGAAGCAACTTTCGCAGACACAGAAGGTCGTTACTGCATTCAGCTGTCACAAATCCAGGCCCAGATCACTGCTCTGGAAGAGCAGTTACAGCAGATCAGGGCTGAAACAGAATGCCAGAATTCAGAATTCCAGGTGCTCCTTGACATTAAGATCCGCCTGGAGAATGAAATTCAGACCTACCGCAGCCTGCTAGAAGGAGGAGGGTGAGTGAAAGAAATGCCACTTTGGAAATTCTCCTGCCTACTAATTTTCCAGGTAGGGGACCTTTTCTCAATTTTTGACAAGAAAAGAGTTGTTAGAGGAGAAATACATAGCTCTGTCTGAAATGTTGAGTTCATCCTGCCCAATTTTGGCTAAGGAATGATCATGACCAGGAAGATATCTTTTTCAAGTGTCTTTAAATTCTCTGTGTGTGTGTGTGTGTGTGTGTGTGTGTGTGTGTGCTTCTGTGTGTGTTTCTGTCCCTGTCTCTCTCTGTGTGTCTCTTTCTTTCTGTCTGTCTCTGTTTCTGTCTCTCTGTTTCTGTCTCTCTGTCTCTATCTCTGTCTCTCTTCTGCTTCTCCCTATGTTGCCCAAGCTAAATGTGCAGTGACCACTTATGGGCTCAATTCCAACACTGACCAGTATGAGGGCTTTCACCTGCTCTGCTTTCCCCACCTAGGATGATTTGCCCCTCTTTAGGTAGCCTGGTGGCCTTCTGATGCCAAAGGCTCATCATATGGGTAAACTTGGACATCAATGTATTAATGATGTTTTATTTATTGGCGATTTATCTACTTATTTATTAATGATGCCCAAATAGCTTTAACCTACTGAAGTTCAGAATGCCCAAACTCAAGTGAACCACCAGTCTGAGTTTTCCCCAGTAGGAGAGGCTATGAAGATGTACCATCACACTTTGCCATCAATCTCTTCTCAAATTTTTAGCTTCTCTAGAGTCTAATAAAATCTGGGGAGAAGGGTATGAATTTTGTAGTGCATATGAATAATTAATCATTAGCATTTATCTCCCTTTTTATTATTCTTGTAGTTCATCTGGAGGTGGTGGCTATGGAGGAAGCTCTGGTGGCGTGGGATATGGTAGAAGATCCAGTGGTGTCCAAGAGGGTAGTAGCTCCAGTGATGAGTATGGAGGGAGCTCTGGTGCAGTGGAGAATTCAAAAGTTCTGGCTCTAGAGGAGGTTCAAGTGGAGGACAAGGAGGAAGCACTGGATCTGGTGGAGAATCTCCATCTAAAAGCAACTCCGGAGCAAGGTCAGCAGAAACTAACTGGGATAATCAGAATCCATTTTAATTTCTTGTGGGTTTTGCTTATGAGATCTTCCTTCGCCTTTCATTCTTCTTAAGTATGGAAATAAAAACATTAAATAAAGTTTCTATTTTCAGAAAGAAATTGTTTTGATAATAATTTTGAAGTTAAAAATATAGGCTCTGATAACATTTTATGTTTTCACTAACTCTCACTAAAAGTCACTTCAATTGAAGTGACATCACCCCTAGAACATTTGAAATGAGAGAGAGTAGAGAGAGACAGAGAGAGACAGAGACTTTGTTTCACAAAGAACATAGGAGTCCACTGCAAGCTCTGGAAGGTCTTAGAGGCAAGATTTTGAATATGAGCCAAGTAACTGATTAGGGGTCTGTTGTTTGAGAACCATCCCAGCTAAGTTGAGAGAAGCCCCTAATCAAGTTGGCTAAATAATGTAGAAAGTTTTCATCTGGGCAACTTTAAACTAGCTATCTAGTGAACGCTAAAGAGTTATAACCTTTGTTGGTAAAGAGAAAACCCACACTAACAAAAGCACAGATCCTTGAATAATGTCTTTGTAGAGTATAATTCAAAACTGATATTTTAAATAAAAATCAGGAGGGGCCATTGTTGATGGGCTCTTTTTTCATATTTTCCTTTAGATTAGAAATTTATTTTATGTATCTACATTTTGGTTGGCAAATATGCCTTTCAAGGACTAAACTGTAATTTCTCTGACTGTGGGAGGGTATTCAAGCTAATTATTTCACTCACAGCTACTTGTTAATTTTCCTGCTTAAGTGCAGCTTTGGGGGCCTCTAAAATTCTCCTCAATTTCATTGAAGAGGACCACTTTTCATTATATAGTAGAAATACCAATACTGATCATTTTTCACCTATAGATTCTAATAGAAGCCATTTGATCAAGACTGTCATTGAGGAGGTAGCCCCTAATGGAAGAGTCATTTCATCCAGAGTGCAATCAGAGACCAAGAAGCACTTCTATTAACCAGGGTTGACATGGAAAAGTCTCTTTCCCTAGACCACAACATATTAACGTTGGGCAAAGAAAATCTCTATTCTTCTTAATGGTCATGGACACTTTCTCTCTTTAAAAATATAAGCTGTCTAAAAGGTTTCTCAGGGTTTCTTTCCTATTCCTTTTCACTTTACCAGAGAGTATTCTTCTATGAAAACTATTCATAAAGAAACTTTCTGTTCCTATTTACTGACATATGTCAATAAACTCTCTTACTGATGCAAACAATGTAATTGTGTCTATGTTATCTTTCTTTTTTGAATGAGACATTAATAGCTTAACAGGAGAGGTTATAGTATCATAGAAGTCAAAGTAAGATCTTAAAGAAACCAACCAGTCTAACTCAGTCATTTTGCAGTCATTTCACTGAGACTCAGTGAAAGGAAGTGGCTTCCTCAAAGGTCACACAATTGGTAAGTCCTAAGGGTGGGATTTGACCCTGGATCATCTGATTCTAAAGCCAGGACTTTTCCAAAAACAACAACATATTGATAGTGAGCCTCTATGTTTAAAATGGTTTATCCAAAATTTTTTGCAAGCCTATCTTAATTTCCTGAAACAAAAATCTTGTCCTATTTCAGACTAGCATCCTAAGATTGTATAAAGCAGTTTCTCCTAAAAACAATGCCCACATATTGCCAATTTTAAGAGTAGTTTTGGGGGGGGGTGGCAGCTAGGTGGCGCAATGGATAGAGCACCAGCCCTGAAGTCAGGAGGACCTGATTTCAAGTCTGGCCTCAGACCAAACACTTGACACTTACTAGCTGTGTGATCCTGGGCAAGTCACTTAACCCCAATTGCCAAAAAAAAAAAAAAAACAAGAGTGGTTTCCTCCACAAAGGTACAGAGTATGTAGCATATTTCTAATTCTCTGGGATCCAATTACATGGTTTCTGGAAATCCATGATAATCAATGGGAAGAAATTTGCCCATATGACTAAAATAATTGGACATTACAATAAGTCACAATGATCTGGGCACTGCTTGCCTGCCTCCTCTTGCCTTGTAGTCAAAAATATGAACACCTCATCACATATGCAACATGGAGGGTCATTTCTTTAATGGAAAAAGAGTTGAGGAAGATGGTCAGAATGATTATTGCTTGGTTGGTGTAGAAATTGTACAGCAACTTAGGAAAGAATATGGGCTGAGTCCCCATATATCTTTGTCCTTCAGCATTCAAGTGAAGTCATACATTGAAGTTTGAAATTTATTAGCCCTTCTAATGACCACTAAGAGGAAGAGATAATTGAGATAAGTGAACAGGCTAAAGGGGATGGGTCTTCTAGGTAAATGCCACTTTAATATTATAGGAGGGAGAGCTTATATTGGATACTATTTTAATAAGTCTCACAAGAAATTCCTGGTGTAAAAGTTTGTCCCATTTGCACTGCAGCACTGACTGTCTCAATACCTTTGTTCCCAGCTGCTCGCTTGCATAAAGCTCAAATAGGAATCTGGGAACCGCATGTAACTTGCTTGTCGCTTTAAGGAAGGGTAGGGTACTTCACTGAAATAAACCAATTCTCAAAGGGAAAGAAATCTCTAGCAAGAGGTGACAAACTTCAATGCCAAAGATCTGAGGATTCAAATAAGAGAGCCCTCTGCCTATCCTAGGATAAGGTTCTCTGACCTTTCTGAAAAAGAGTAGTTGCAATACAAATGAAAAGAGCAATATAACATCCAAGTAAAACACATCACATAAACACCCAACTAAGCCAGGGACTAGAGGTGGTGGGAAGTAAAGTTATCCATCAAACAGCTAGTCCAGGGATTCAAGTAGATTGATCCATTCAATAAAACCATCCCAATGGCCAAATAACCAGTTTAGCCCACGCTAGCATTAGCCAAGCTCAGCTGCCAAGCAAACTGCATGGCACAATATGGCAACAGCCATGCCACTGTACCAGCCTATACTGACATCAGTTGTCCCCAGTGAGAAGACAGCCTAGCAGCAGATCAGCCTATTTATTAGAGACTCCTGGGAGTCTCATGGAGAAAAAGCCCCTCTAACAGCAGAGCAACTCACCCATCCCCAACACCTGCTCCATAGTGAACTTCATGAAGATTCTCCAGAGAAAGAAAAGACAAGGAAGGTCCATAGTTCTGAAGCTGTAAGTTGCCTCAGGCACTTGTGTTTTCTACACAAATGCCTCGCAACTATTGTACTGTACTGTGTGTCTACTTGGAGTGCTTTGTAATTTTTTTTCTATGTCATTTGAATAAATGTCTTTTTGAAGAACCATCCAAGTGCTTAAGGGAAGCACTCAGTAGTAGGTCTCATAAGCTACAGTGATGGATGTGGTCTCCCACAGGGTCACCCCTGGAAAACAAGGTAGCAACTGCTCCTCTGGGCATCCCACCAGCCAATGCCATTACAAGTTGGAAGAATGATTGTCAGAGGGCATGCTGCTATACTAGAAAGGAGATGATAGGAGGTAAACAGATGATGGAGGAGTTACCTGAACTCTTTCAAATTTCCCTCCAAATAACTTTAAAACTGTGGTTCAAAATGAACTCTAGAGTGGCAAAATGAACAAAGCAATGAAGTGAAATGATATGCCAGCTGAAGAAAACCTAGGAGGTCAGCAAGAAAGATCTCCCTCACTGGGATAAGAGCAGAATGCAGTCCAGTGCATGCTATGCCCATCAACCTAGCAGTGAGGTCTTGGACCCTGCCTCAGGCAGCCAGCAGCAGGCCATACCTGGTGCAAGAAGGCCTTGGGCGCAACTGAACTTGTAGCAGTCATTTCTGAGGCTCTCAGCCCACAAATGGAAAGGGGGTTGGACAACTGGTTAAAAGAAAATTATATTAGCTGGCAGGATGTGTAGGACTCTGTGCATTGCCAATATTCATTTCCAAATCACAGTGCCAGGGCAGACAGGAACACTAGCACACTAGAGAGCTTGGCTACAGGGGAGTGGACACCTTGAACACAGTTATACAGTCTCAGGGCAGAAGAAAATGTGTGTGGTCACTCACAAACCAGAGTAGAGACCAGGAGAGCAGTGACCACACCTCTCTTTAGATCATACCACTTCAAGGTTAATGGAGAGTTCAGGAAGACTAGCAGTTCTGTTGTAAGGTCTTGCCAAGCCCTTTTCAGGGCTGTTCACCAACCTTACGTGTTTACCTGATTCACCCAATTCTCATCAGTGTGTCCAAGTAACTGTAGCATGCACAATGGCTACACCCAATAAAACATCTTAGCAGATGGGCTAATCCAGGCTGAGGGTAACTGACCAGCCTCAAACCTATTGATGAGTTCAGGGATGTCTATACTAAGCATATGAAGACTTCCCCTGGTGGAATGGGTAGATCAGAACAATTGGCTGCAACAGCCATAAAGGTGGCTGAAGTAGGCATTGTAGACAAATTAGAGCTTCATCAAACCAGGGTCTGATGCCAAGGTCATCCCAGGCCACTACTAGTCATCTTGACTTTTGACCTGCCACTGGACTTTGATGACTCAGGAAAAGGGAATGAGACTGATGACTTTGTGCAACTCTGCCTCACTTAAATCCAACTCAGGGGCAAATTAAGAAATCACCCTATGATGTCATTGATGTTCTTCAAAAACGAAGGACAAACAACAAGTTCAGAAGAATTGAAAACTTACAGACTCCCAGAAGTGTTCTGAAAACAACAGAACAAAAAACCTGAAGCTTCAGACAGTGCCCCCCCCTTAGCCCCTGGAACACAGCCCAACTTAAACATAAAGTTAAATGTTAAGAAATCGGCTAAAAAATGATCAAGGAACAACAACAACAAAAATAACCTGACTACAGAAAGTTACTATAGTAACAGGGAAGATCAAAACATAAACTCAGAAGAGGACAACCATGTCGAAATAGCAACATGCAAAGCCGCAAAGAGAAATGTGAATTGATCCCAGGACCAAAAAAGAACTCACGGAAGAGTGCAAAAAGGATTTTTAAAATCAAATAAGAGAGGTGGAAGAAAAACTGGAGGAAAAAAATGAGAGTGATGCAAGAAGAAAATAACACCTTAAAAAAAAAACTGAATAAGGTGGGCAGAGCCAAGATGATGGAGTAAAAGCAGTGACTTGCTTGAGCTCTCCCCCAAACCCCTCCAAATACCTATGAAAAAGGCTCTAAACAAATTCTAAAGCAGCAGAGCCCACAAAAGGACAGAGTAAAACAAATTTACAGCCCAAGACAGCCTGGATGGTTGATTAGAAAAGTATATCATACTGAGCAGGAAGAGGAGTGCAGTTTGGCACAGGCAAGACAGGCCTCAGCAAACCTGGATCAGGCCTCAGAGGACTGAATCAGAGGCAACTGTGGTGGTTTCCAGACTTCTCAACCCATGAATGCCAAAGAAACTTAGAAGGTCAGTGGGAAAAATCCGTGACTGTGGGTGAGAGAGAAGGTGGTCCCAGCCCGAGTCCCTGGCACAGCCCCGGGGTGGCGGCTGTTTCTGGAACATCTAGCCTACAGACTGAGGGGGAATCAAGTGGCTGATCAGAGGGAAATTGCAGGGATCTCTGCTGGTACAGGAATCTCTTGCTTTGCCCACGCTTGGATCTGGGTCACAGTTCTGGGTGGCGATCCTGGGGTGAGGAAGAGTGCTGGTGTGGTGGAGCTCGTAGTGGTGGTACAGATGAAATCCTCCAAACAGTTCCAAGGCAGAAAAGAGTGCTTGTGGTCACTCATAGACTAGAGCACAGGCCAGGAAAGGAGTAAACACCTCACTCCTTATCATACCACCTTGGAAGAACTGAAAATTTACAGATCCCTAGAAGTATCTCTGAAAACAGCTGCACAAAGCACCTGAAGCTTGGGACAGTACATTCTCTACACTAGAAGTAGACCCAGGGGCACATAACACTCACTAGCTGTTTGACCCTGGGTACACTTAACCCCATTACCTAGCTAAAAAACAAACAAACAGGGGCAGCTAGGTGCCACAGTGGATAGAGCACTGGCCTTGGATTCAGGAGGACCTG